ACGAACCTGGTCTTCTCCTACAGCAGGAGGGGTTTCGCCCTCCCGGTCCCCCTCATGCCATCCATCGACTTGGGAGGGGTGAGGAGAGAGGTTGCCAGTGAAGACTGAGGCAAAAAAGTTGTTGAGTACCTCAGCCTTCTCCTCATCTGCTGTTACCAGCCTGCCGGTCTCGCTTATCAGCGGGGGTACACTCTCTTTAACCTTCCTTTTCCGGCTGATATACCTGTAGAATCCCTTTTTATTATTCTTTGCATCCCTAGCCAAGTTAAGCTCCAGCTGCGCCTTCGCCTCCCTGACCCCATTCCTACACAACCGGACCACTTCCCTATACTCTTCCCAGGATGCCTGTCCCTGCTTCCACTGCCTGTGCAGTTCCCTCTTCCTCCTTAGCTTGACCAGCATCTCCTGTCTCAACCACGCTGGTCTCTTCCCTTCTTTGCTTGATTTCTTACACCTAGGGATCGATAGCTCCTGCGCTCTGTGGACCACTTCCTTAAAGATCTGCCAGCTCTGTTCTGCTCCCCTGTCCCTGAGGGCCGTTTCCCAGGGAGTCCTACTGACTATCTCCTTGAGGAGCTGGAAGTTGGCTTTTCTAAAATTCAGGGTCCTGACTATACTCTTTGTCCTTCCCATTTCCCTCAGGAGCGTGAGCTCTACCAGCGCGTGATCACTGCAGCCCAGGCTGCCTCCGATCTGGACATCTCCGACGAGCTCGCTTGCATTGGTGACCACCAGGTCCAGTATCGCATCCCCTCGGGTAGGGGTGTCTATTACCTGGCTTAAGAAGTTGTCCTCAATGCATTCGAGAAACCTGCTGGATGGCCTACATCTTGCCGTGTTGGTTTTCCAGCAGATGTCGGGGTGGTTGAAGTCCCCCAGCAGGACGAGGGCCTGCGAGCGCGAAGCCTCCCGGAGTTGGAGGAAGAATGCTTCGTCAGTCAGCTCCTCTTGATCTGGCGGCCTGTAGTAGACACCAACCACCAGGTTCCCTTTGTTGCCTCTCTCTCTGATTCTTACCCATAAGCTTTCGACCTGCTCGTGGCTATTCTTCAGGGACAGCTCTTCACACTGTAATGATTTCTTGATGTAAAGGGCAACGCCCCCGCCCCTCCTTCCTCGCCTGTCCCTTCTGAACAGCCTGTAGCCATCAATAGCTACATTCCAGTCATGGGATTCATCCCACCAGGTTTCTGTAATGGCAACCAGGTCGTAGCTTTCTAGCAGCATGATTGCTTCCAACTCCTCTTGTTTGTTTCCCATGCTGCGTGCGTTTGTATAGAGGCATCTCATCTGAGCTGTCGGCCTCATCACCTTCATAGCAGTACACTCCTTGTTTCCTTTGAGGTGTTTCATGGGCTTTTCCTTGTTGGCTCCTATTACCTCAGGAGCCTCCGGCTCACCTCCGCCAGACTTCAACCTTGCTGCAGCACCCCTGGCACACTGCTGGGCAACAGGTTGAGGGCTCATACTAGCCCCCAGTCCCTCTAACCCTTGCATATCAACCCCTGGCCTGTCGCTGGCAAGCCCGATAGGTTCCCCTTCCCCCTTCACATCTAGTTTAAAGCCCTGTCAATGAGCCCTGCAAGCTCCTGGGCAAAGACCCTCTTCCCCCTTTGAGAAAGCTGGCTCCCATTTGATGCCAGCATTCCCGGTGCCGTGTAGACCATCCCGTGTAGACCATCCCGTGATCCCTGTGCCAACAAGCCAAGTTCCCCATGACAGACTTCAGAGACTTTTACTGGGCTTTTTTATAGGTACAGGAGTGTTTTGACAGAAAGACCATCATCTCTGGGCCAAAATTTGGAGGTATTCAGGAGTCTGGTGGAATCAGTGAAAGATAGGCCACACCTGTGCTGTTGCAGCTCCCACTGGCTGCCTACCTGTGGTTTAGGCATGTGAATACATTTCTCTCAGAATCTTCCCCTAGATATATGGGCTCAGTACAGCAAGCAAAGATGCACAATTAATTTTTAAAAGGTTACATGTCTAATCTGGGCAATTATATGCCTATTTTCCACAAGTTTCTATGACTACATGTACAGTTTGAGTGTAGAAATTTCAAATGGTCAGTTGTGAACTTCAAAGTCATAAGCACAAACCAACAGACGAGTTTTTAATACATAGTCATGGCATAAGCAACGAGTTATCTCTCTGCTGCTTCCCTCACACACTCTGGGGATGATGCCTTTTCCTAAATCTGATGTTACACTTAAAATACAATTATTCAAGCTATTGCCACTGTATTTTCCCTATTTCCAATATTTCATAGCAAATGAAGGAATAAATGATGCTGTATTTTGTCCAAGTAATTCATACCAATACCTTGAAACACTGCTGTGAGGCTGGATTTTTGTCAGATCAGCTGCCAGCTTTGCAGCAGAGGATTATTTATGTATTTACTTGCTTGCCAGAGAAATTTTAATTTAAGCATTAATTGCACGTGCTGCTGAATACTATTTATATCTGAATACCTGACTGGTGGACCCAGCCTGGACAGAGCACTGTTCGCCAACATTTGGCAGTTTGTAACAACACAGCGAGTTATTTGCTGATGCAAACTGTGAGTCTGAATTTCAAACTCGCCTCACACCAGTGAAACATGCCTGCCGTCTAACAGGCACACTAGAAGCATTTCAGCCTGTTTTTCAAGATTTCCCATTGTCTTTTGTTTGACCTTTAGTTAAAGACGCACCTGTACTTGGCAACGTATATTAGCTGATCCCTTGGGTAGTCACAAGGGCGTGCGTTGGGGTTCGTTCACGGCAGAGGCAGCCTTCTACATCTGTGACAATGACTTCAGCTTCATTCAGTTGCTGCCATACAGTCCAAGCTAATGCAGGAGTGACCTTTCCCTGCTAACCCCCTGCAGAAAATCAGATACACCGTCAATGTGCAGCTTTTCACTGTGGACAGGGAGAGTAGAGGGAAAGGAAAAACCAGCGATGGGTATAGACAACGGCTTTGTCTCACTAATAGGCCAGAGATCCACCGCATACTACAAGGAGCAGGTAAAGAAATGGCAAAGAAAGGCAGCTTGAAATGTGAAGAGTAGGTGGAAATTCTCGCTCCCTCGCACACTGACCTCTTGTTGCCTGCTTGCTTGCTTTCTGCCCTAAAAGAAACCAGACTGAAAAAAACCCACCAGATGGGGAGCCTTCTCCTTCCTTGATTGGCCTTTTCAGACACAAAGATTAAGCCCTGCAGCCACAAGACCATCAGTTCTGCTTGTATTTGTTCCTTGCACTTTTATTGTGTTTCTCCCTAGATTTTAAATATAGTTTAACTAACAGTCATGTCAGCAAATTAAACCATTGAGTCTCAGTAATTATTGCAATAAATTCATTCAAAATTAGCGATTACTGCAATCAAAGACCAGTTTCTTAGCCCATTAACAGCCCAAAGCAAAGTGACAATCTGGTTAACTGCTGGTAACAACCTATTTCATGGAGGTTATTGTTAACATAAATGCTTTGGTGTAAATCTGAGGGAGGTAACATTGCTAAATAAATAATCAGCTTAATTCCTGCGAAAACTCACAGGATTAAGTGGGCAATTGGGAAAAAAAGAAGGAAAAAAAACCCAGACAGAATTATAACCGTAAAGTATTGTTGTTTGGGGTTTTTTTTATTTTATGTACAAAAAAATTTCCTTAAGTGCATTTTCCTTTGCGGTTAAGTCTTCTTGCCCACAGAAAGACTTGTGTGCCAGAGCTTGAGTAGCTGTCCCATCTTATATTTTAGCCCAAAGACAAAGTGAACTGGTAAAGTTTTAAGTAGTGACATTTTAACCGTGATAGCTGCAGCCTTCTTAATTTTTTTCTTGTACTACTCTCTTAGTCCCTCCACCTCTGTGTAGCAGCTGAAGAGTGTTTCTTGAATTGCTTCATATGTGCCTTAAATCTCCCCATGCAGTGGTAGACTCTGTGCAAGCAGCAGAGTCTTGCATTAGGCCTGGAAATAGCCACAGATGGGCTGAGGAACTTTGCCAGTGGTGCAGGGTCAGATCCTAGAGGTGACTTGGCCAGTGGCTCACATTCAGTTTTTCTTCAGATGCTTTTGAGGTAGATCTGCCAGGCTGGATTGCTCTTCCCTTTGCAAAGCTGTACTGGGGAGAATGAAGAGCTCCACACATCTCTGTGCACAGAGGCACGGAGGACCACTTTGGTCTGTGCTCCCACCCATAATGCATGGTCAGGGTTCCCTGGGCAGGACACTTGTTTGGGAGGCAGAGGGTTTGGATTCTGGTCCTGGGTGTTCCATTAACTCGCTTGCTTTGCCTCTGTACAGTTCAGCGACACACACATGTTTTCTTGGGGTAGTGCTTACCCTCCTTTGGAAAACTTTCCTCTGGAAAAAGTTCAGAGTATTATTGTGCTATAGCTATGGCAACCTGTCTGAGTTCCAAAATGCCCTTTGGGCATAAGAAAGCTAACAGATGGGACTGAGTGCGAACTTTTTGGAGGGCATGTTGCAGGACCACATGTGCATAAAATCAGTCTCCTCGAAGAACTGCCAGTCTCTTCAAACGTGGTTGCTTTCCTTTGATCTTCTTCAAGCCCTTGTTTTCTGAGCAGGACAGCATTCATACCAGTCCTACTGTGAGGCAATAGGAATTCTGTCCTCATTTTATTTCTTCACTCTGAAGATCTTTAATATCAGAGAGTTTCAAATAAGATATTTTTAACTCTGCTTCAGTTGAATTAAAAGAGTTTTGAGTAGAAGAGCTATAAAACCTGAAACATGAGGAGTTTGTTTGATTTCACTCTGTGATTTCACAGAAAGGCAAAAATATTTTTGTATCACCAAAGGTCCAAAGTAGGGGAATGACCAAAGCAGATGTAGATATTGATACTGTTGGTGAAACTGCAAAAGAGAGCGCTCCAGAATGAGGAGTAAGGAATCTATAATTCCTGACACTGACTGAAAGTGACTGGGAACGAAACATAAATTCTTGTTGACTTAATTTGTTATTGAAATTTTAGTCAATAATCATGAAAAGTAAATGATCATGTAGTGCAATATTAGATGTCTAACAAAAGATTAAAATCCAGGTTATCTTCATTGACTGAGCTGGGGCAGTACCTAAAATAAAAATCTATGAGTAGATTAACATGTTAAACAGTCAGTGGGGTGTTGGGGTTTGTTTTTTTCTTTTTTGATGGATTTGAGGGGAGAAAGGTCTAGCAGGTTTTTTTTCGTTTTTACTCTGTATCACAGCTGCCATTTCTAGCCAGCTAACAATTTCTGTACATAAACCAGACAATAGATTATCATATTACTTGAGCTTTCATGTCAAAACCACATTCATTTTCTGAATCACGTTCAATTCATCAACCAATATTTGCTCAAGGGCTTTTGCCAGCTACAATGTATCATTTTAATATAGTGTTGAACATTGGGTTTATTCTAGAGGTCAAATAATTATTATCTTGTTATTGTTATGGTTATCATTTTGTAGTTGTTATAAATTATTTTTTTGGTTCACATGCTACGTGTTATTATAGTTTTTTTGCAAAGGTTGTTTATGTGGGCCCTAATCTGCCTCTTTAAAAGATGCTTAATATTAAACACATAAATAGCCATACTTGATATCAAAGAACTAACACCATGCATAAAACTTCCCAGCACTTTGCTGAGTCAGAACCTCTATGACCTCTCAAATGAAGACTGACTCAAATTAGCATTTAAATTGGGTGCAATTTGTACTAATGCACTGGAAGTTGTCCTCCAAAGCAGGAGGTTTCTGCAGACATTGAAAAAGCAGAGGTAGCTCTTCTGTTTTCACTGCCTGTCCCCTTTTGACTTAGCTCCTAGGATATGGGGAGTGCAGGACATATTTGAGGATAGAGCTGGCTTTTCAGAAAATAAAATCTAGAGCTTGGTGCTATGGAGGATTAACCAAGGCTCTTGAAATGCATCTGGTTCTTATCTGTGTCCCAGGAGCAGCGGTAGCTCAGTGAAGAAGGTGGCAAAGAAAAGAGAAGAGAAGCTGTTCCCTCCTCCGTTATCCCCCCTCTTGGACGAGCCTGTGCACCGGCGGCACAGCAGTGACAACAGCTCCTTCAGCCAAGAGACCAACATCACAAACACCTCCCAGACCAGCAGCTCTTCCTCCTCTGTTTCTAAACACAGAAAGAATGAAAATAAATCCTCTTCTAACCCCAAAGGAATCTGTGTAAGTAACTGACCTCAGTTGCTGGAAGTGAACAAGATAAAATAAAATTAACATAGCTTTGTTCTGTTTGACACCCCAGCCCACCCCACCCCCAGTATCTATTTTTAAATGCTTATGTAGCCCCACTCTAGAGCAGTGAGCAGTGGATCTTTGCAGAGCTGGGCATAAGCAAGTTCCATTTGTAGGTCAATATTAGGCATCTACTTGGCATTGCGTATCGCTCCCTGAAACACCTGGTCCCGGAGCCTCAGAGGAGAGCCTCTGCAGCCACTAACTAGCTGCAGTTAGTCCCTTAGCTCTGTAGCTACAGCACACATTTTGAAAATAAAACATCAAGAATTTTGGTGTCTGTCATGAAATAATTACCCCAAATTCTCAGCCAGAATTAAGCACTGTAATTGTACCGAATATTGTGGTCTAAACTAAACAGACAATAAAAATCTAACAAAAAACTACCTGTGCATAGCACACTCAATATGGAAATAGTTTCTCTCAGGTTTGCGGGCTCGCAGCTTCCAGCAGTAAGGTTTGTTTACACCTAGTCTCTATGAATTAAATATGTAAGCTTTTAGAAACCATGTAAATAGGGGGGGTTTCCCCCCCTAAAAAAAAATCATTGTTACGGCCATCTCCTCATCAAAGGCTTTCCCATAGACAATTCTTTCTTGCTTGCTTTTCACCAGCTTCAGATGGGCTTTTTTACTGAAAAGAAAGCCAAAACTAGAAGCTGTATAGCAAATTTACTCAAAAAAAGTAACATTTCACATCAGTTTGTCATCCTCTTTTAGAGAAAACAGGGAAACTTCAGGGGTTTGGCCCATTTTAGAAAACAGTCCTCCCTCTAGAGTTTCAAACATATCATTTAGTATCAAACTGTGTCTTAGTATCACTGTCAAAATTAAAAGGCAAGAAGAAAATTCTGCCTCAAAAAAGGACATGCATAGCCCTATTTTTCACAGTTCGCCGCTTTGTGAGAGGTTGTTACCCTGCTCTGTAATAGTAAAACTCACAAGTTGCATTGGATCATAGGTGACAAATCACTTCACCTTATTCATTCATCCCTGTTGCTTTCTGATATCATTGTGTCACTTCAAGCTGAGGGAGTAATACGCACGCCTTCAACTGAGATCAATGCCAACATGAACTGCATATGTCAGCAAATAAACAATTCTATGTAAACAGCAGAGCCACTTCCTCTCACTCCCAGCATCTCCAGTCACATTTATCCTTGGTTTATCTATTATCCTGATATGTGAAATATTTGTCTTCTAAAATATGTTAG